CACTGGGATCAGGAAGGATTGCAGAAAAGAGATACCATATTGATGGAGGTGATGCAAGGGAAAAGGCTATAAATAAACTTTACCAACTGGTCTGGCAAATACATTTAAAATCAATTTCTCTGCTCTTCAGTCACCTTTACCTGAGACTAGAGCTAACCTGTCTTTTCCCTTCTCTTGCACCAATATCGAAACTTCATGGGTTTCACTGCTGCTGCTAAGTCACGTCAGTCGTGTCCGACTCCGTGCGACACCATAGACGGCAGCCCACCAGGCTCCTGTCCCTGGGATTCTCCAGGCAAGAATACTGGAGTGGGTTGCCATTTCCTTCTCCAGTGCATGAAAGTGAAAAGTGAAAGTGAAGTCGCTCAGTCGTGTCCAACTCTTAGTGACCCCATGGACTGTAGCCCACCAGGCTCCTCTGTCCATGGGATTTCTCAGGCAAGAGTACTGGAGTGGGGTGCCATTGTCTTCTCCGATGGGTTTCACTAGAGGAGACCTATTACAGAAAGACTGAAGAACAAAGCTGAGGGATAAATGACTGTAGGAAGAGCCTACCTTCTCAACCTTACAAATTTAGCAATTTTAAAAAACAAAATTCCTGGATTGCTCTTGCTATGTTGCAAGAAATCTTTGGCTTTGGGCCAGAATTTAGGACTAGAACTTTAAAACTGTGTGATCCTGAAAACTAAGCTACTTAATGCCTATTGGTCTGGGTCTCCACTTCCGTCTGGGTTAGAAAGAAAGATAATACACCTCCCCTTTCCCACCTTTATCCCTACCCAGAAGGCTTTAAGGATAAACTGGAATCATATTTGTGAAGTAAATTATATGCCAGCTATTATATGCCAAACTTGAAAATTACTAGAATGTATCAACACTTTTTTGAATTAATTTTTATTATACTCTATGTGAAAACACAATATTGCTATACTTTTCTGGAAGTGTCTGCATTCTTGAAGCTTATTTTAATCTAGATAAGGAAGAAAAAGCAGAACTTATACTCCACATGGCTTTTTTTCAATGCAAACTACTTGGGATGATTATGTACAAGGCTGGTTCTTAAATCCACTCTTGGGAACTGAGGGACAATCAGGACTCAACCATGGACTCAATGCACTAAGGAGGATGGCTTGCTGGCCAACCGAGCGTCCCTGATGAGCACTGATTAATGAATTTAGTCACCAAGAGTTAGAACGCTAGGTTGCTAAGGTGTTACCTCTAGCCCTATGTTGGCAACTTTTTAAATCAACGATACGTGTAGAAAGCAAAGCAAGAAGTCCTCTCTGAAAGAAGGGTTCTTTCCCATAGTATTCCCAGTGGAAAACAATCTAGCCTACTACTGGACACATCGTAAGAAAGCTAATTTCATTTCTGATTATTTCAGCCAGAAAGTTTCCATTTATATTAAGTATAAATCTTAATATAGTAGAGCTACAAAAAGTTTGATTTCCTTCCAAATGAAAATATTTTTAATTATTTAATGATTTGCCCTCATGTCTGTTCACTCCAACACTATTCTGTTCCATCTATATTCCAACCTCAATTTCAAATCCTTTCCAGCTGATTTCAAATACTTCAGTTGATGTATATTTATCTTAAAGGGTGGTGCCCAAATCTGGATTCATACTCAAGTGAGAAATAACTGGATATGCTATGTCACTGTTAAAGGGTATCAGAAGTCTAGTCGCTTGCCACTTCTCTCAAGAAACTCCTTTGTCCTTTGATTAAAACCAACTGCGGTCCACATCTGGCTGTCACTCATGGCAAAACGCAGAGTCGGTCAATAAAACTATCACGTGCAACAATTTCTTTTCACAGCTTGAATCCTAATTGAAGAGATAAAAGACTGGAATTATCTAGAAATAAACTGGTCTGTAGAATTCTGGCAGCAGTACCAAAATATCACTTAACATATCCTGGGCTGGATCATTTCAGCTTGCTGGCCCACTAGCCCAAGGTACGGGGAAAAATTAAAGCAGAATAGGCCAGAAAGTGTTAGATATGAATGGTCCCACATGGTGTACTTCACTTTTCCAGGTCACACAGAGCTCTTACAATATTGGCAAGGTTGCTAAACACTGAACAGAGATAATCCAGCTTTAAGACTAAGGTAGAGCTGGGGGTGGCAAATACAAAATGTTCAAACTTTTCAATTTTAAGTACATGTGTATTGAAAAGGCAAAGCATTAACCACATACATATTTGGGCTATCTCGACTACTGCTCCCTGCCATTCTTCCTCACCTTCACCCTCATTCCAAGCAGCAACTATCTTATCTCTTCAAATTCAAAGTCTCTCTCACCCGTTTTCCTTAAGTAATATGCATCTTTTTTTTTTTTAACAGTAACTCTTCAGGGATAATGGTCCCTAATTCTGTTGAAAAATAAAAAATGAAGACTTGTTAACTCTGTAAGGGACAAATGGCCAGAGCAGCAAAAGATGAGACCTAGCCAGGAAGGACTTGAAGGCAGACTCCAGAGGTAGCCAGAAATGTGGGTGTCAGGGAGATGGAAAGCTGTCTCCAGCACCCCATAAATACAGGTGTGGGGGGCGGGGAGGCTGAGTAGCACAAGCAGATCAGATTTGCTTTAACTACACAAAAGGCAACAGGAATATGGACAGCAAAAATCAATGGATGTACTGTGGCAATTTCCAGACCAAACAGGTCCTCCTCTTCTGGAAATGTACATCTTCATCAAGTGAGTGTACTGGCCTCAGGAAGCAACTGGGAAGAGCAGTGACTGAAAAGGTTGGTTTCCTCATTTTTGAGGGTCTGTCTGCCTCAGTGCCCGTAACAAAGGTTAACATTTCTTAAATGATAAGTGTCAAGATACATGCTATGTATGTATGTGTTTAGTCACTCAGCCATGGCCGACTCTTTGTGACCCCATGGACTGCAGCCTGCCAGGCTCCTCTGTCCATGGAGATTCTCCAGGCAAGAGTACTGGTTGTTATGCCCTCCTCCAGGGAATCTTTGCAACCCAGGGACTGAACCCGGGTCTCCCGCATTGCAGGTGGATTCTTTACTGTCTGAGCCACCAGAGGAGCCCTAATACTATTATTATTCCCACTGTACAGAAAGGAAACTGCCCTTAGCGACGTTAGGTAACTTGTATAAGTTAAGTAACTTGTATAGAATTAGTTAAGCAGAAGACCTGGATTAGAATTTAGTCTGAATACAGTACTCAGGGCGTCAACCAGCTGCGCCTTTTTGTCTCCAAAGTAGACGTAAGAAAATGTCTATTTACAAATCGTTAACCTTTTGTTATTAGATTTAATTCTAGAATACAGCTAACCAGTATAGGAGGGAAAAATTCACCAAAAGTGTCTGCTGTTATGCATGAGTTCAACTGAGTTTTTGGATGTAACTTACTGAAGACACAAATGCTAACAACAGAGGTTCAAATGCTGGAGACGCTATGCCTTAGTTTCCTTACCTGAAAAATGGGGAAACCAGCCCTACCTTTCTCATAGCACTGGTGAGAGTGGTTAAATGAAACAATAAAACGCATACAAAAGCATTCTGTAATCTGCAAATCACTACATTCTATTAGTTATCATTTTTGTTAAAACACAGAAAGCATAGGCGTGGAAAATCAACCAGGCAGAAGACATCTTCAACACAGCCTATTAACTAATGGAAACTAGATATAAAGTACACAAGTACAACCAAGTGAAAATTATTTCCCAAGGATATTTTATAGGCCTTTTACCAGGCTACTGTTGCGAGTACATTCACTCAGAAGTTAACTTGTGGAATTTCAGGTCAGGAGCCAAATGTAGACTGCCACAAACAGAAACATCTTCTCCTCCCAGCTACCAAGGTAGGCAGCAGTGGAAAGTGCCAGCTCAAATAACCCTCCAAAGGCCATTCTCAAGCTCTCCAGTCAGAAAAGATCTCTATCTCCTCTCACAGCATCTTTGCTATTTCCTTGGCATTTCATTCTGATGTATAGCAAGAGCTATCAGCTTCTCCCAAGCCTGACTTCCTACTACTTCCTGAACCCAGAAAATTCACATAGACTTAAAGATCACGATTAGGTGATCATACTGACTGGCACTCAAATGCTTGCTCCATGAAGTCTGTATTTCTTAACGTTATGCCTGTGGCTGCAGTTTCAGTGTGGGGCGTAAACACATCACAGTCAAACATATCCCACAAAGGTATAAACAATTCACCGTGGCGCGGGGGCGGGGGGGGGGTTAGGTTTCTTTTGGACCTACATAGTAAAACAATATATTCGTTTAAAAACCAAACGGGAGGCACAAATGGAAATGAAAGAGGAGACAAACGCATGAGAACCTTCAAAACTCCGTTTCTAATTCAGAACTCATAGCTTTCTCCACCTGGTTTCACAAACACGGTAGACACCTCTTGCATCACAAGAGAGAGGGTATTCTACCTCGTGGCTGATCCGTTCTTGGAATTAAAGACCACATCTCCCATTCTAAACGTCATTCAGAAGTACTTACTATTTACTTTTTCAAATTTTGAACCCAGAGCAAAGGTCACTCTCAAGGCCGAGTGAAGTAAAGAAAATTATCTTGAAAATGGAAAAGCCTCCCCAGCCAGCACCGAAGGCCCAAGAACAAAACACTCTAGTTCGTGCATGGGACAAAGGAACCGTCTCGAGTTTCCCCGAAAACATGATTTCAGCCGCGATGGGGTGGCACCGGGGGGCGTGAATTGAGGGGATTCATTTCTGACCAGGCCTCCTTCGACGCCGGGAGTCACCCGGCTGAGGCCATCCTACTTCCCCACCCCAGGCCGCTGTCATCCTCCTCCGAAAGGCGCACAGATGACCCCGTGAGTCCCGACGCGTCCCCTCTGTCCCCTGGGGACGCGGCCTCCCTGGCCAGAGGAGAACGCGGGGTCGGCGTCCTCACCCAGCCCGGCGCCTCGCGCCGCGTTCCCGCCGCACACCCAGCCAGCCCTGGGCTCCGGAGGGCCCCTGCACACCCAACCCCGATTAGGAACCGTGTCAGGCATCACCCATTACCTTCCCCAAGCAGATGTGACATGTGATGGGCAGAGTGAGCGACAATGTAACGTTCTGCACGGTCTGAGCCATGGCAGCGTTCAGAATCCCGCCAACACGGAAGTCCCGCCGACCGCGGCTTCTCCCAGCGACTGAGGCCGCGCGATGCCGGCTACGGCGGCCGGGCAGGGCCACGACGCGCCGGCCGCGGAAACGAAAACGCGCTTTCCCAACGGGCGGCCGCCGGCGTCTGGTCCCTTCCTCCTTTCCTTCCTTTTTAGTTCGAAAACAAACTTTCCTCGGTTGGGGAGCTGCAAGGATTCCTGAGAACGGGAAGGAAAGCTGGTTACTACGGGCGTCGAGGATCTTGAAAGTTTAAATGAAAGTTTGAATGGTAGCGAGAGGAGAGGAAGGATGCGGAAAGGCGATTTGGAATCCCAGAATCTTTCCCGGAAGATGGGGAGTTGGGGGAGAGTTTTCCGCCTAAAGATTAAACCTGACAGTCTGCAAACGCGGCGCAGTCAAAAACGGAAGAGGAAAGACATTGTCTCTGCGTTTAAATTTTTCCAAACAACTTCGTGCGCTCAGCTCTCTTTACATTCTTAAATGATGTAATGTCACCTTAAAAACGACACGGGGTGATTATCTCATTTGTTTCAGAAACGTTTTGGGTACATTAATCGCTGCTCTCCGTGAAGACCTGCTTTCACTGTTGGTTCTCCTGTAGTTTCTATCTGAAAGAGACCTAACGATCAGAGCCGTGGACTGTGATTTACACCCACCTGTGAGAAAGCTGCTAATAGTGTGAACCATCCACACTTCCCTACAGCAGTCCCACAAGCGTTTAATTCTTCATTTCAGGCGCCTGGCTGGGAATGAAATGTACCACTAGGCTGTTAAGCTCTGAAGAAGAATGTGAAGCTATAAATTAGCACTTCCTACCAATGAAAGACAAAACAAAACTCTAAAAGTTCCTAAGTAAATCTTGAGTGTAAATAACAGATTTGGAGTTTCACTGCAATATAAGTAAGGAAGAACCAATGTGATCAATTTATGTAAACAAATGCAACCTGTGAACAAGGAGATTTAGAAACAAAACAGTGTAACTATTTTTAGTACACTTTTTGCAGGGGAGAGCAGTATAATTACAAGAAGCAATCTTACGGTTAAAAGAAAGGGATTCTGCAGCTGGACTGCGAGGTAGAAATCCCAGCCTGAACAAATTCCTGGCTCTATGGGCTTTTATTTGTTTAACTGTTGTTTAACCCCTCTGCTTCTTAGCTTCCTCATTGGTAACGCGTGTGTGTGTGTGTGTGTGTGTGATAAATGAGGTCAATATGTTTACTATCACCTCTATAAAAAGAACATATCATAATGAGATTGGAGCAGGCAATTCCAGTTCAAAATCGATTCACAAGTGACAGTGAGAATTCTTCCAAACAGCTCAGTAACTTAGTTTCCTAAGAACTGGAGACCATCCGCTGTGCTTGGAATTGGCGATCTGGGCAAAATAGTCACATTGTTTGTCTGTTTAACTGGACACTTTTCCAGAAAGCCTGGGCTAAAAGTCATCTCGTTTGGCCATTTTCTGGCTGTTTGAAGTCATATTCAATGGGGTCTAGGCTTCACATGCTTTGCTAATGCATCTTTCATATTCCTGGCTGTAGGTTAAGGCTTAAGAAAGAGAAAGATCCAGGTCATTACCTATTGTCATTCAAGGTTTGCCTTTTCCCCATCTTACTGTATTCTTCCTTGTCATGTTGTCACCTTGCTTAAACCTATCATGGTGTTTTAGTACCTATCATTCCCATAATCTTGAGTGGGATAAAGGGCTGAGATTATTCTGTCTTTCCCACTGATCCCTGGAGACTATGCAGTAGGAAGATATGTTGAAGATAATCTAAAAAAAAAAAAAAAAAAATTCCAAAGCTACTAGGGAAAGTTCACTTCTTATTAATCATCCTGATGATTGGTGTTAATACTGTCACAAAAATATATTTAGAAAATAAAAACCTGCATTTTAAGTAGAATGGTTAAAGTGAAAATGTTCGTCACTCAGTCGTGTCTGACTCTTTGCAACCACGTGGACTGTAGCCTACCAGGCTCCTCTGTCCATGGAATTCTCCAGGCAAGAATACTTGAATGGGTAGCCATTTCCTTCTCCATGGGATCTTCCTAATCCAGGAACTGAACTTGGGTCTCCCACTTGCAGGCAGATTCTTTATCATGTGAGCCACCAGGGAAGCCCCAGAATGTTTAAACCTAGACCATTTCCAACAGCCCTTCCCACGTTAGCTATCATCATCATAGCTTCTGAATGCTCTTCTAGTGCTCTGACCATGTAGCTGTTTCCATGCTAAGCTAACTTTACTACATTTTATTATAGTTGTTTATGTGCTTGCCCCCACAACAGTTTCTTGAAGTCTGGGATTGTATTCAATTTATCTCATATCCAGTACTGAGTGACTAGTCCACGAACCATAATATTTTCATTAGCCACAAACTAACTTTATGAGAGACCCAGCTACCTTAAGCATTGTGTTTACCTGTTTTTCACTTCAAAGTGGAAAACTGTTTTACGTTGTGCTAATTATAAGCATAATAAGAATCATCTTGAAAATGATGCCATTTGTAAATATATAAAATAATGAGCAAAAGTTCCCCTAGCCTTATGCTTCACCTCTCGATCCTGTGTGGTAATCACTATTAACATTCTGTAGTGTATCTTTACATTTTCTTTCATATATTACTGTGTGTATAAGCACAGATAAGATCATACCATAACATACCTGCTCTGCTCACTAATGCTTTGTAGATAAGTAACGCATACACACACACACACACACACACACACACACACAAATATATATCTGAGTAATACTGTTGGCAGTATAGGCTGATTAGGACTTTCTCTAGGTCCAGATTGATTCCAGGTCAATCCCCAGGCTTTGCTTTAAATAATGCAAATGCTTTAAGGCCAGGAACTCATTCTTCCCTCTGCCCCATGAAAGGCATTTCTCTTTTTTGACAAATCATATTCTAAACAGACATTGTATGGCCCAAATCATTAAATAGTGTTGCTATTATGTTAATAGGCAAGAGTACATGGCTCATTAACTTTCTGCTCAATTTCTTTCTCAACTTCTTTATGGCCCCATGAAGCATCCTGTGACCTGAGAAGTTTGATCAGATACAGTACGTGGAATGAGCTAAAGCCCCCCCAGAGCCTTAGAATTATAAATTTTTAGAACTTGGAAGAATCTTTAGGGGTTTACATGCAGGCCTTTCCTTTTACAAATGGGGAAATCAAGACCTAGATAAAGTAAATTACCAGGTAACAGTGGAAGAAAAACTAAGTCCTAGATTGCACTTAGACTCTTTGAGATTGTTGGCTAAATGCCTTAGTGTAAGTGCAAGATGTATTATTATTAATAAAGTAGTTCAGTAATAAAAAGTCATAATAGAATTTCTTTGCTAAGAAAACCATCAAATAGCCATGGAACACCTTTTACCCCTTGCTTAAATCAGATTCATTTTTATGATAAATTATTTAAAAGCAAGTTTAAAAAAATATAAAATCTTAAGTGCTATTAAAAATTGATTAGGAATGCATTATTCTTTCATTGACCCAGTTCAGATTGTTTTTTAATTTTTTGGTCAAAGCTAATAAATTTGAGTAGATGTTTCAGACAGACGTTTTGTAATCATTTGGTCATCAGTCAATTAATCACAACTTCATAAATATTGATTTCAGATTACGTTTATTTTTCATTCCTGAAGAAGATCTTTTTTTTCCCCTTGGTTTTAAATTTATACACCCCCCACTTGGATTGTGGTTAACACTGAGAAAACTCATAAAGGTTGGATTAAAAATTAATCAGAGGTGTTGGCCCAATTGTGTGGATGTCAAGCATGGTGCCATCTTCTCATGGGCTGGAAATTCTGAGCTAAAATGTCTCAAGATGGTGTCATGAAAGATGCTTGTTACTATAGCAGACCGAGGAACTTAGGTTTTTCTTCCACAGTGGTTTTTTGTTGCTGTCTTCTTGCCATTTTTCTTTTTAGAACAGATGTTGGAAGTTAGCATTCATTCATCTAATGTATTTTTATTTAAAACATTACAGAAGACTAACTCAAAGTTCATTTCATGGAGCTTACATTCTAGTAGAAAAGTTGCAGTTACACTGCATTGGCTTAGAACCAAATCCTGGCCTCTTGAGTAGAATTTGAGGTTTTAATACTGAATTTGCTCATCAAATTTGTATGTAATCACAATCTAAATGATCACAGAATAAGTAAACAAATGTAATTCGTTGTTATTCCACCAACATTTAAATACTTTTTATGTGCCAGGCACTGAAGAGCTGGGTAGACAGCTGTAAATCAGACAGTGTCCCTGCCTGTATTTATTCATTCAACAAATTATTGATTATCAGTGATGTGCCAGCCCCTGTACTATTAATGAGTCACTTTATAAATGGGAGTACCGAGTCCAAGTCTTCTAGTCTAATGTAAAGATGTCTATTTTGACAGTGATTTCTCTTGTGGGTGTTCTCATGGTTGGTTAGCCCCTGGCATTATGATGTAGCAAGTTATAATTTTTAATATGTTTAAATGTTGCAAATTGGGTGGTTGTTTTAAATCAGGTAATTTTTAAAAGAATATTTTAGTTCCACCTAAGGCTAAGAGGTACTTCACAAATGTTTGTTGAATACTGAAGAATAAATGTAAGAAATGTTACCTCCAGGAATAGCATAGCAGGAATCACAGGACAGAGAGGTTGTAGAGCTTGCCAGAGAAGCAGAATAGAGACCCCCGCTCCAAGACCCTGGCTGGTTTGTCTTTAAGGTGCCCCACTGGGGCTCCCCTGGCAGTCCAATGGTTAAGATTCCATGCTTCTGTTACCAAAAGAACGTGGAGTCCAACTGCTTGCCACTCAAAAGCCAATAAACAGTCCAGGTTGGTGGAAAGGAAAGTTTACTTTATTTCAGATGCTGGCAACTGGTGTTGGGGGATGATGAATGCCTGTCCAAAGGCTGGCTCCCCCCACTGACAGAGGGGAACAGCTTTTATAGATGGAAGGAAGGGGCTAC